TCAGCCTATTGATACAGTACGACAAAAGTCATTGCTCGATATCCACAATCAATGAACTCTTAAAACTGTTCAAAAGGTTTTTGAATCGGATTCTGAAGCAAAAGCAACCCATCGGTCTACATGGCACGATTGATAGCCCTTTATCCTACAACACTCCTCGCTGCAAAACTTTAGGGACAGCTTTCAGAGAGCAGGCCGCGATTATTCCATCCAGGGTTTGCCTTGAAAACACTTCTTCGATCTTAAGCTTTCGAAAACACTATGGAGGCTGCCATGAATTTTGCCAATCAAATGGAAGAGACGATCCTCAAAAACAATGGGGAGCCTCCTAGAAGTGACGACGTGATCTGTATAGTTCTGCCAGAATCTTTCGAAAACCATCTCTTAATCATTTCCGTGCATCTGCTCGGCTGTGCCTATTTGTGCTTGCCTCCAGATACACCTCCTGAGAGGATGCAATACATACTGGCGGACTGCCAAGCGCAACTTGTTGTCACTGATCTAAACCTGCCCAATATTTCGGTTCCGATTCTGTACCCACAACTGTCGTTTGAGAAGCGAGCTCATAGCTGGCCTCGATCGTGCTCGATTTCTCTTGCCTACTTAATTTATACCTCGGGTACCACTGGCAAGCCCAAAGGCGTTTGTGTGAGTCATCAAAGCACGCTGAATATGCTGAAACATGCGACGAGACTGTACGGCTTTCGACCGGGCGGACGTGTCTTACAATTTACGAAAAGCTCATTCGATGCGAGTATCAGCAACACGTTCGGTAGCCTTCTGAACGGAGGCATCCTCAGCATTAGGGACGAAATCGTAGACGCGGTGGAGGATTTGGTAAAGCGGCAGCCAATAGCAGTGGTACACATGACTCCCATCATAATGGAGATGTTCAGTGAGCAGGACTTGTCCCGACTTTCAGAAGTGGAGCTGTGGAGTTTTGGTGGTGAAACTATCTCCGAATCCACCCTGGAGTTTATGATTCGCCAGGGGCAGCAACTGGTTCAGCTTTATGGGCCTACTGAGGCCACCTGTTACCAAACATCGCTAAAGATGAAGAGAGGACACAGCGCCACTTGTTTGGGTTTGGCCATCCCGGGACTGCCGCATGGTCTCTGCTCATTCAGCAATCCGTCGGTCGAGCGGAAGGACGTAGGACAGTTCTATTGCAGTGGGGAAAACCTTGCCAGAGGATATATTTCAGCTAAGTAGTCAGGGATTTATCGGTAATCCATTTCGAACGCTTGAAGATCGACTTCTACGAAGAAATCATAAAGTGTACCTTGTTGGGGACAAGCTACGGCGTGACCAAAATGGACATTTGCATTTTCTTGGGCGAAACGACGATCAGGTTAAGGTGAAGGGCCAGCGCGTTCAACTATCCGAAATCGAAGCAGTAGCACGGAACATCAACGGCGTGACAAACGCTGTCGCTGTGATTCAGAGGGACACAATCGGATCCAATAATATCGTTTTATTTTACACGGGAACTGCCAGGGATCCATTGGCAGTCCTCCGGAATAAAATACCACCGTCTATGCTACCTTCGAAACTTATTCATTGCCAAAATTTCCCCTTACTTCCAATAAAAAAGTTGACAGAGTTAAGCTGTCTTCGAGGGCCGACTTCCTAGCCCCTTCAAAGGCGAAGGCAGACCCACGAGATCATGTCGAACAACAAGTTCTGAAAAGTTACCGGGAAGTTCTGCAGCAACAAGAATTGGACATCAACTCAAACTTTTTCCAAGCAGGTGGGCATTCGCTGTTGGCCGTTCGTCTGGTGGCCAGACTTGAAAAATCCTTAGGATTATCAGTTCCTATAGTGAAGATCTTCGAATACCCACATGTGAAAGATTTGGCGAATTGGATCAAAGGCATTCGGAAAACTTCCACTGAAGTAGATGCAGAAGAGAAGACAAAGGAAGAGAAGTGCATACAAATTGATGAAGAACCATCACCCCTGCAAATCACCCTTCTTCGCTCCTTCAGACATCCAAAGGCGCGAGCTCTCTATGACCTCTCACTCAGCGTCGTTCTGAAGAAGGCAATCAGTGCGAGCAAGTGTGTAGAGATTGTCAACCAGCTGATAATGATCCATTCTTCTCTTCGAACGCGGTTCGCCAGAAATGGCAGAAGCTATACAAGAGAAGTTCTTTCAGGAACTGAGTGCTTCCAAAATCTGGATGCCAAAGCGGACCTTATCCTTGACCCTTTCGAAAAACCTCCCTTCCTAGTTTGTCTTGATGCAGATCGCATTTGTGTTGCTGCAAACCACATAATTATTGATGGACACTCAATGCAGATCATTGTAGCGAATTTGGCTCAACTACTGAACCAGCAAAAGGTTCCAATGGACGAAGGTTTCATGTTTCATTCGTGGTTGCTGCAGCAGTTCCGACAATGCGAGCAAGATGATCTACAGTACTGGAAAGGAAAGTTGAAAGGCTATGTGCACAATCAGCTGCGACAACATTTCCTCGATTTATCATCAACGAAC